GAATAGAATAGAATAGAATAGAATAGAATAGAATAGAATAGAATAGAATAGAATAGAATTCTTTATTGGCCAAGTGTGATTGGACACACAATGAATTTGTCTTGGTATAAATATTCTCAGTACTCAAAAGAAAAGATACATTTATCAAGAGTCGAGAATCATAAGGTACGACACTTAATAGTCACAGGGTAGAATAGAATAGAATAAGGATACAAGCGACAAGGTTACAGTCATACAGTCACAAGTGGGAGGGGATGGGTGATAAGGAGTGATGAGAAGATGAATAGTAATAATAGTGTAGACTTTGTATAGTTGGACAGTGTAGAGGGAATTAGTTGTTGGCAGAACGATGGCGTTTGGGGAAAAACTGTCCTTGTGTCTAGTTGTTGTGGTGTGCAGGGCTCTATAGCGTCATTTTGAAGGTGGGAGTTGAAAGAGTTTCTGTCCAGGAGATGAGGGGTCTGTAGGTATTTTCACAGCCCTCTTTTTGACTCGTGCAGGATACAGGTCCTCCATGGAAGGCAAGTTGGTAGCCATTGTCTTTTCTGCAGTCCTAATTACTCTCTGAAGTCTGTGTCTGAGATTACTACCAACCTGCCTTCCATTGAGGGAAGCACGAGTGAATCCAGCTCTCTTCATTCTCTAAGCCAGGTTTTTCTCACCCTGAGCAACTTTAGAAAAGAATAGAGCTGGATGGGACTTGGAGGTCTTCTAGTCCAGCCCCCTGCTCAAGCAGGAGACCCTATGCCATTTCAGATAAGTGACTGTCTTCTAGTCTCTTCTTAAAAACCTCCAGTGAGTGGAGTGTCCACAATTTCTGAAGGCAAGCTGTTCCATTGGTTAATTTTCCTCATTATCTGGAAGTTTCTCCTTAATTCCAGATTACTTCCCTCCTTGATTAGTTTCCATCCGTTGCTTCTTGTCCTGCCCTCAGATGGTTTGGAGAATAGCTTGACTCCCTCTTTGTGGCATCCCCACAAATACTGGAATACTGCTATCATATCCCCCCTGGTCCTTCTTTTCTCTAGATTAACCAAACCCAAATTCTGCAACTTTTCTTCACATGTTTTAGTCTGCAGGCCTCTGATCATCTTTGTTCCTCTTCTCTGCACTTTTTCCAACGTCTCAACAACTTTAAGAGGTTCTAGAATTCCCCAGCCAGCATCCCCCTGATTTGGGAAAGGGTTTCCCTGCTGGAGCAGGATTAGGTGATCCCTTCCAACCCGGTCATTCTGTTTTCTATTCTTCTGTTTATTCATTTAGAAAGCAGAAAACCCAGCACCTTCTAAAGCCAGTGTTTCACAATCATGGCAACTTTAAGTCACCTGCACTACAACTCCCAGAATCCCCCCAGCCAGCATCCCCCTGAATTTCTACACAGGGATATTTTTTATCCTGCACACTCCACAGTGCAGAAACTCCAGTTCCATTCACCTCCAAAGTACTTCTCAACATTTCCAGGCACCTGGAATTCTGGGAATTGTAGTCCAGGCCACTTAATAGGTTGAGAAACAATGCTCTAAAACAGTGGTGGCTAACTTTTTACGCCGGCAACCGTCATAAATATGAGTCAGTTGCCAAGTGCCTGAGTTTTGATCAGTGTCCAGGGAGATGCTGCAATGGTCGTAAGTGTGGAAAACGGTCATAAGTCACTTTTTTCAATGCCAATGTAACTTCGGTCACTAAAAGAATTGTTGTAAGTCGAGGACTGCCTGTACAAGTCTAATAAATGCATAATTAAACACAAATGAACCGATGGAACAGAAGTTGCCTTCAGAAGTTGTGGGAGCTTCATCCCTGGAGGCTTTCAAGAAGGGACTGGGCTGCCATTTGTCAGAAACGATGTAGGATCTCCTGCTTAGGTGGACTAGATGACCTACAAGGTCCCTTCCAGCTCTGTTAATCTGTTACCTGTCAGAAATGGTGTTGGGTCTCCTGCTTGGATGGGGGCGCTGGACTAGATGACCTACAGGTCCCTTCCAGCCCTTGTTATTCTGTTACAACTAAATAAAATGACTCTGAAAATGAAACATTAGCAACACTAGCTAATTTAGGAAAAAGTGCAAGGTTTTTTTTCTTCCCCATTCCTAGTTCCCCCCGCCCCGAGGGGTGTCCCCCCCCCCCCCCGCCAAATTAAGACACCCCGCCCTTCCTTCCCTCGCAGCCTATCTTTTGGACAGAGGGAGTGTTTTGATGCGCACCCGGAGACATCAATGCGCTGGTGTCTCTTTCTCTCTCTCTGTGCGGCGCACACGCCCAATTCTCAGCCACTCGGCAGTTTTGAGAGCTTTCCGACAGATTCAAAACACATTGCCCAAGATTCAGGGGTTACCAGCCAAACCAGCTCGTTGTCCCTGCAGGCAAGGGGTGAGGGCTGCGGGAATGCGTGGAGGCGGTTGCAGGCACACAGCCCAGCTGGGCTTGGGAAGGTGTTCACGAGAACCTCCCTGCTGTCGGAGAGCAACAAAGATGAAAGAGTGAAAGAGGGATGGGGGGTGTGGAATCTGAAGCCTGCGGAACTCCCGGCCACAAGAGGCAGTCGCAACACAAGGAGCCCCTGGTTTGGATCCGCTTCTTTTTTAAAAGGAAGGGTGGAGAGGCAGGGAAGGTTCCAGTGTGCCAAACCTCGAGGTTTTAGAGCTGTGATGGCGAACCTATGGCACACATGCTGGAAGTGGCACGCAGAGCCACTTCTGCCAGCACATGAGAAGTCGCCCGGAAGAGCCCCACTGTGCATGCGTACGCGCCACCGGCCCAACAGCTGATTGTTGGGTGTCGGGTGTGCATGCGCAGTGGGCCACGGGGGTCTGGTATGCATGTGCAGATATGCACAGGGCACGTGGGGGAGTCGTGCATGCATGCGCAAGGGGCATGGGGGAGGGCATTGCCTTCTAGGTGCTGGCACATGAGTGCATGCATGCAAGCTCATGAGCAATTTTTGGCACAGGAGAGTGTCGAAAATTTTTGTCTGGGTGGCTTAGAAAGATTAAAAGCCATTAAATATTAAAGCACTGTGATTTTTATACTTGTGAAATAGTTATTTAAAGTTTTCTATGTAGATTATTATACTAATTTAATTATTATAGTCTCTCTTTTTAATGTCATATGTTCTAGACCTGGAAAACAAATAAATAACAATGAAGTACTGAATTTTGAAGATTCTATATCCTTGGAAATAGTGTCTAAAGCTTAAATTATTAAACAAGTAGGACACTCTTTGCAAAATCAAAAGGGAATTCTTAGGCAAAAATCTGCACATTTGGAGCAATTTGTCACTTGGATGCTTTTTATTAGCCTAACTGCTTTGGGTCTGTGAAATTGAGTCATGGAGGAAAAACCAAATTCACAGGCACTGGCAGATATACTTGGCTCTGTTCTTGTAAATGTACTGGAAATATTGAGATATTTATATATATACCTGATTAATGAGGAATTGTTTGCCATGGTAAATGCAGGCCTGGATCGATGGATGGATAAATGGATGGATGGATGGATAAATGAATATATGGATGAATAAATCATAGAAAGATAAATGGATGGATGGACAAATGAATATATGGATGAATACATGATGGATGGATAAATGGGTGGACAGATTAATTGATGGATAGGTAAATAAACAGATGGGTGGAAAGTCAATGGGGGAAGCTTTACTCGCATAGCATAGCATAGCATAGCATAGCATAGCATAGCATAGCATAGAATAGCATAGCATAGCATAGCATAGCATAGCATAGAGCTGGAAGGGACCTTGGGGTCTTCTAGTCCAACCCCCCTGCTTAAGCAGGAGATCCTATAGACAGGTGGCTATCCAGTCTTTTCTTTAAAACCTCCAGGAATGGAGCACCCACAACTTCTGGTGGCAAGCAGTTCCACTGGTTAATTGTCCTCCCTGTTAGGAAGTTTCTCCTTAATTCCAGGTTGCTTCTTTCCTTGATTAGTTTCCATCCATTGTTTCTTGTCCTGCCCTCTGGTGCTTTGGAGAATAAATTGAGCCTCTCTTCTTTGGGGCAGCCTCTTTCTCCTCCGCCCCACCATGGCAGTGGCAACATAATCAAATCAGCCATCGGATCAACTTCGTGTCCATTCAGGGTGTCCAGGAAATCATTAAGAAAACTACATTTTCTGGGACTTTGGAAAACATAGAAGAATAAGAAGCAGAGACTGGAGGTGGAGTCAAGAAAGGAATCAGCCTGGAGTCATTATGTTCCCACAAGCAGTCTAATGCCAGTCCCTTATGGATTCCATTAACCATTATGTAGCACCAATTTAGTGCTGACCGTAAGTTGATTAGATTCTTGGTAGAGGCACAATCAATAAATACCTTTAACTGGAACTTAAATGTGGTCCTATTTTTTTGCTAGTGCCTGGCATTAACCTAGTCAACTAATGGTCAGAACTGAACTGGTGCTACATAAGATATATATGAGCCAGCCATGTGCAGCAGCAGCAGCCAAAAAAAGAAAAAACATAATACAATCCTGGAGTGTATAAACAGAGGCATAGATTCAAACAAGATCACGTGAAGTATTACTACCACTTTACAAAGCCCTAGTAAGGCCACACTTGGAATCCTGCAACCAGTTATGGTCACTACACTGCAAGAAAGATGTTGAGACTTTGGAAAAAGTGCAGAGAAGAGCAACTAAGATGATCAAAAGACTTGGAGACTAAATCAAGAATGGCTAGTCTAAAGAATAGAAGAATTAGAGGTCACACCGTAACAGTGTTCCAGTATTTGAGGGGCTGTCACAAAGAAAAGGGGGTCCAATTATTTTCCAAAGTACCAGAGGGCAAGTCAAAAAATAACACCTTCCAATTCTATTATTCTGTCTCCTTCTCTTTCTCCTTCTCCTCCTTCTCCTCCTCCTCTTCCTTCCTCCTCCTCCTCCTTCTCTCTTCTATCACTGATGACATTACCTAGTTGGGTAATGAAATATCTGCAAGGAAACCAGCAAAGCTCAGAGAGTACCAAGGACACCACAGTCTTTTTCTTCCTCCTCCTTCCCCTCCCCTCCTCCTCTTCCTCCTCCCAGTGTGGTTGTTTTCACGGTTGTGATTCTTTTTCGATTTTGATACCTTTAATCCTCCTTTAAGCTTCTCAGCGTTGCGTGATGAGTGAGCAGCCTTAGAGACTCAACAAATAAATAAATAAATTTTTAAATAGTAAAACGATTTGCCATCATTTGGAAATGAACCCATGTTGACGTCTACCCTAAAATTGCATGGGCCAATGGACAACCCCATCACGGGGCCATGGGTTTACTTTGCCATCCGCTGCCTCAGCTGCATTGTGCAAGCAGAAACGAAATAATTGCTGAATTCAGGGTACAGGATTTTCAGTGTTTAAGGATTCCCTTCCTCAGCACAAACTCTTGAGTGGGAAGGTTTCTTCTATAATTGCTTACTAGTAGTTTTAGGTGGCCTCCTTGCTAAAAAATTGCAAACAGAGA